CAGGAATGTCAAACTGTGCCACGCCAGGACCTGGGAACCAAATCTCTACCAGTAGCTGATTCAGAGCAGATGGAACTCCCAAAACACCAAGGAAGAAGCTATGCCAAGAAGCCTCACATAACTATTGATAGCTTCACAGAAGATTGTGCATGATTGCGTCATGTTTGTCAGATATAGGGCTGACAATGGAAACCCCATGGTGAACCACTCATCACCTCCTCAGAAGCACAAAAGAAGTCATTATTTGAATCTAAGTGTTATTCTGCAGTTGTGTTCTAAACTGTAAAGTGCTAGAAAGAAACCTACATCTATCTACCAGCTCAATAGACCTAGACTTTCATCTCAAGAGTCAACCAAAGACAATGACAGGATTCACTGATAATCAACAATCAAGTATCTTGCATGTATGTGTGAATTAGCTGTCATCCAAACTCTTTTCACACATTTCTGCACGAAGGAAAAAAGCACATTCAAAAGAGCAACAGGCTCTTATCTTTAGCTGCTGCCCTGATGCTGAATAATTTCTGCTGATCCCAAAGAAGGCAATTTATATTTAAATTTCCAGGCATAAAGATTTCACTTGGCACTAAAAATGATCATACAGATTCCCAAATTCCTAATAATGGACCACATGCAAAAGTCTGTACTTTTCCAGGCTTCCCCATTTAAGACAGTCTTGTAGAATAAAGGTAGGAAGGATCCAGGAAAAGCTGTAACACAAGTGGGGCATAGATAAAAACTCACCCTTGCAGCTTTTTTGAACAATCTCTGAGTCATCAAAATAGGCAAAAAAAAAAAAAAAAACCACCTCTTTTATCAGTTGTACATTTACAGGACCTCAAGCACCATTTTATAATCCTGTAACCCACCATTTAAAAAATTGCTTGAATCCTTAGAGACATTAAAAGTGGTAAACTGCTACATGCATGCTTTATCATACTGTCAAAAACAGCCTTTTGAAAAAATCTCTCTCTCTCTCCCTCCCCCCCCACCACAAAAACAGGTAGGAAGAACAAGTCTTTAAGGTATTTTTAGTACATAGTTTCCTCCAGATGAAAAGATACATACCAGGCCCCACTTCTACCCAATTTGTATGACCTTGTTAGGACTTTCATTTTATTGTTAATTTTGTTGTCGTTCTAATGATTTTGAAAGGCAACACCAAAAATAAGGTTAGAAGCAAAAATCTGAAATAATTAGTCTAAATCAGACTATCAAGTGCAAAGATCAAATCAGATGCTTCCAATCTACTTTACAAGACAAATATTAATTAAAATAAAAAACCATGTACGCTCAAGTAACATTCTGACAGTACAGTCCTCCAACTGGCCATTCCAAAGTTAAGAGTTAAGTGGGAATTTCCCAGGTTCTGTAGATGGTTGCAGAAAGATAGGTAGGAGCTATCAAACCAATAGTGGTAGAAACACTTGCTGTTATCAAATGAAGAGAAGAGATCCTCCCACCAATCCTTTCTCAAGACCTCTAGCATGACCATTTTTTTAAAAAAAAATAATTCTTTCAAGCCAAAAATGACTGTGGGAAATAAAGGTGCTTGCATGTTGTGTGTGAAAATTGGAGGGAGGAGGCGTTTCTGCTGCGATGTGGCTCATGTGGGCGAATTACAGAGAAGGAGAACTCTTGGTGTGGGTTGCTAACAGTGGGATGAATGTACATTAATCAGCCTTCTAAGTCTTTCATGGTGGCAAGAGATGCTGTTTGAAATTCTAGAAAATTTGCCATCGAAGTTCAGAACGAAAATACCACTAAAAGGACTTTTTTTCTTTTCTTTGAAAAGGTAAAGTCTGGCCCCCAAACTCCACAAAAAGAAGCTAACATTAAAAGCATCAGTCTTCAGTGTGTTCTAGCAGCGAATCTTTTGCATCAATTAAGATGTTTCAGATCAGCTTCTCCTCCAATTCATATCTTATAGGAATGATGGAAATGGGGGAAAAAAACCAGAGAAACATTTTGTACTCCCCCCCCCCCATCTGTACAGGTGTTAGCTGACAAATTAAATTTGCACTTCCATTTTAACTTGGCTCACTTCTCCCTCTTTAAGTCAGGAAACTTAAGTTGTATGGAAGCAAAACTTAACAGCAATAGCTTAAGTGACACAGATTTTTATATACTGTAAGTGGTTAGAAAGCAAAAGTTTAATATAGGACTGCTGTGGGAAGATTCCACTTGATATAAAGAGATATCAAGTGTCAGTAAATATTTCTACCACAGAAATGAGAGCAAATTCCAAGCCTTAATAATGAATAATCCTATTAGCTGACTGCTTTCCCAATCCAATACCAATGAGGTTTTATATACAATGAATAATTTCTCCATAAAATGAGCTGAACCTATTTCAGAAGGAAAAGATGCAAAGAAAAATACAATAATATTTCCCCACAGCCATTTAGCTCTACTACCCTGGCACAAGCTCAGACCTCTCACCTTCATTAAAAGAGTAATTATCTCCCAAGAGAACTTTCAAAAAATATTGATTTCAGCAAATGCAAGTCTCCAAAAGGTCTCTTTAAAGTGACTATGCTTTGGACAGCTGCTTATTTTCCACAATAGTTAGCAGCTATATATTTTAACAACCTTTCTGCACCCTCATATTTTTGTATAAAATATTCCAAGTGGGTGGCTTTTAATTAAGGACTTTTGGCCCCGAAACTGACAAGAATCAGTTTTATATGATACTGACATCTTGTTGCTAAATTCATCCTCAAGATGTAAAGAACAGTGTGCATATTCTTCCTCTAAACTTATAAATACAGTACTAAAATCAATTAGATGTATTTCCAAATGCAGGGTCAGAGTGATATATTCAGCCATTCTCATTCTCTGATTCTCTCTCTCTCACACACACACATACACCACCAAACACAGCTTTTACTTCCAAATAGCCACCTATTTAGACCTGGTTCCACCAGTGTTCTCCCTCCCCACAAACTAGCAAGCTACTCAGCAGAAAAATAAGATTCTTTCAACAAATGAAATCAATATGAAGAAAGAAGAGGATGAAGCAATTTTAAGATTTACTAATAATTCTACAGAGATCTTTAAAATTAATTATACTTTTCAACTGTCTACCAAGTTTCTATTATAGTTTTTGTATACTGCATATTTTTGCAATATTATTTTTGTAACAGAATATAGTAATAATCTTTCTATATTTGTGCCTGTTATGTGCACCTACAGCTCAAATATCCATTAGCTATCAATTTCCTCAAATAAGAGACTTATGGATGTAATTTGGTAATATATAAGAGTTCCTATCTTAAAATATTTCAAATACTCAAAGTATACAAATGTTCAAATACTACAAATAAGACCTCCTAAATTGAAAAGTTGAATTGTATATATCATTTTTTTCCTCACATTTTTGGTTATGCTATGGCCCAACTTGAGAGACCAAAAAAAATGAGAACCTTCTCAAGAAAGCATTTTATGTTGGTTATGACTTGCAAGGGGGACATGATGTATTACCATGCTTGTTGAAACATATCTGAGTACCATACTGATAGTCGAACTGAAGTTTTAAAATTGAATTAAAGATGTTTTTCAAAAAACAATATATTGGGAAGATAGCCTCAAAAGCAATCCCCACCCCAAGTTTTAAATATACAAAAATGTACACCAAAGGCAGGTTTCCTAATTCTGAAGATATTCAAAGCTTATTAAAGCAAATGGTAATCCGATCGGCAAATAACTAAGATTACCTGTCCATATCAAATCAAATGCGATCCCAGCCAAGCACACCCTTATCTATACCATTTAGATAATTTACATACATTCCTTCTTTTGCAATGTTTGAGTTGTACACCATCTCTCCCAACTTTTAGTGAAGACAATACAAGGATGTTTCAGTACTTTCCGCCCACGCCCTCACCCTTTTTTTTTTGCACTGGATTTCTCTGGGAATCATCCACACGCCACCCACCCACCCACGCATCCTCGCTCTCCTTCCGGCAATCTACAGCGGCAGAAACCAACTGCAGCGATGGAACAGTGCAAACAGCCTGCTAGGCGAGAAAGAGGCAGGGCGCTTCTATATTTCGTTCGCCCTTTTTCTCCCCGCTCCCCCCCGCGCGTCTTACAAACGCAAATCTGCCTGTACACCTATTTAATTTAGAAGGAAGCCCCACCAGCCTCCCTGTGACTTGGTCCCAGGTAAATGCGCAGAGGAATTGCGGCCCCGTTTTAGACAGGCCGCTGTCCCCAACAGTTTCCATTCTGATGAATAACGAGCACGGCTCAACGAAACTTGCACGGATGTCACTTGGGCATTGTTACCCGCGCGTGTTTATCTAGCAGTGTTTCGTGTCACCTGCCGCCCAAGCTGGTTCGTGCATTTGTAACCGGACGCTGACTTTCGGAGCGACTTTAGAAGCACGCGCGCAAGTTTGCAAGCCGCGCAGATGGGGCTGCAGGAGGAGACGCCGAATTAAAGACAGCCCGATCTTAAAAAGCCGAAGCACACACACACACACACCTATTCCAAGCGCCCGCAATCAACACGATACGATGCTTAACACAAAAGTAAGGGTCGCAACTGAAAAACGAGATTTGTGATTTTCCTGCTATTTCTTCCGGAGTAGAATCTTAATACACCCAACTGGGCAGCAATTTCACTACTCCCAGCAACTTGCAAGGACGGAAGGCAATTGGGCTTAAAAGAGCATTTTTGTTAGGTTTGGTTTGGTTTTGTTCCACGGTCCTGCAATGCTTCTGTCGCAACATGCCAGCCGAAACCTCCCGCGTACCCAAGTGATCCACAACGCATTCATGTTTAGTGGGCGCCGGAGCCCCCGAAAGGCGCGCGAACGCAACGATTCCGCAAGCGAGGAAAGCGCACGCGGCGCAAAAGGGTGCGCCGCGGAGCCTCCGGACTGCATCGCCCCACGCCTTCGGAGTTGGAGCGGAGCGAAGCCGCCGCCGCCGCTCCGCCCGGAAACTCCCGTGCGATCGCCAGCCACAAGGTGAGAGTTGCCGTCCTTACTTACTTGTCTCCAGGACGTCCTCGCCGCCGCCGCCGCCGCCGCCACTGTTCTGCCTGAGCGTCCGGCTCTTGTCCTAGCCGGGAAGGCTGTTGGTCAGAAGTTACAGCCGAAGTCCCCCTCGCCCGCGGCCAAGCTTTTCCCTTTCCATCAGTGGGTGTGCTGCTTCCGCCGCCTCCCAGGCTCCCCTCTGACCCGCAAGCCTCAAGCGCGGGAATGGCTGCCACTCTGGCGGCGGCGGGAGCAGGAGCAGCAGCCTCCGCCTCCTCCTCCACCGCCGCCGCCGCCGCCTCCTCCTTTCCTTCTCTCCTCTGCCTGCGCATCCACGGCCGCCCCCCTCCCGCGCCGTCACATGGGGAGATTCCGTTCCTCCGCGCTCCGGCTCTTCCCTCCCACTCGCGGCCGCGTGACGCAGATCCTGGCGTGAGGCAGCGCGAGGCCGGGGGCGGCGGCCCTTCCCTCGCCGCCTGGAACAGAAGGCAAAGCCGCCTAGAAGGAAGCGCTTGGCAGCCGGGCAGGGGAGAGGCGGCCCAGGAAGAGCGGCAGCGAGGAGGGAGCGGCGGGTAGCGCCGCACCCCCCCCTGAAGCGGCTGGGTGGCTTTAACTCAGAGGAGCAGCGAGGCTGAAAGGATGCCCGGCTTGTGGGGAGAGAGGCGTTGGCGTGAGCTCCGCTTCCCCGAGGGAGATGTAGAATTGGGGTCTCACTCAGCCTCCCCCCCCTTTGTAGGGGGACGGTTTTAAAGTTTGGGCATGCTTGGATGCCCGCGTCGCGTCACCGCCCCCAGCAGTACCGCAGCTTCCTAATGGGGTTTATTTTCAGGGCTATTATTATTTTGGGTGGGTAATCTATAGTTAGATTCGCAATCTAAGGCTGGTGGAAACTTAATAATTCAAGTCCTAACCAACCGCCTAAGAATGATTAAGGTAGCACATCTGAGAATCCAAGCAGTTCCAAGCAAGGTGTTCTTTGTAAAATGAAGGTGTTCGGGTCTGATAAATTCAATACTGCCAGATATCAAAGGAGTCCTTTATTGCTCTGGATTAGTTACAACAACGGATTTCTTTTTCCATAAGTTTTCAACCTCCATCTGCAAACCCTGGTGTTTCATAATGCTTTCCAATTATTTTTCATCAATCCTAGCATCACCAGGAAGAACATCATCAATGAACCAGACATTCTTCTTTTCAGTAACTGATATGAGACGTGTTAGGAATAAGATGCCTATGTGGAGCTTAAAGTTCCATAAGATCTTTACCCACTCATTATTCAAAACCACCTCAACTTGCTAGTCCCAGTAAGTTTTACTACTTCCAGATTTAAACCTCAGGCAAAACTTTCAATGAAAAATTCTGGCAACTCAGCCATGTAGTCATGCTTGTAATCAGTTTGGTTAAATTTTGCTGCAGCCACTGATCAAATGGTCACTTTTATCCTTTTTACTGACATTTGCTATTGTTTGTTACATGTTGAATTTTCACTTTTATGCAATTAGTTGGCAAAGCTTGTTCTTGAGCTGCTGAAATAAAGCCTTCAGTTTCTTTAACACTCCTGATTTTAACCAACTCCCTAGTGGGAGTTTTGGGTTTGTTTGGGGTGGCGTTTTTTTGGTCAGTTTTTCCTTCTGTATCTTTCAAGTGTTGACTCTTCATTGGGTTGTTCTTCCAATGAGCAAATCTGTGTCCAATTGCTTCTTTTCTATAGTCATAGAAAAGTCATATAAATTGTTTCCAAGAGCTTTCCTTGATTGACTGTGTGCTGGCTTGGCCTTCATACGTGTTGAGCTCTTCTAAAAGATTTTAGTTGCCACTGTTCTGAGCATTTGTGTCTCTGCAAGTTAGTTAAGATGTATGTTCGTGCAAATAATAAATATCAGTATTACTTATTCCTGGAAAATGACATAAAAGGATGATTTGTTTGAGTAGTCCTGTCCAGGGCTGTTCAAAAGTGAATGCTTAATTCTTGTCTGAAACAGGAGTCCCCAACCCCCATCTGTGGACCAGCACTGGTCTGCGGCATGCCAGAAACCGGACATTGCAAACAAGCGAAACTCCATCCATGGGATGCAGGCAGCACAAGAAATCACATCTCCTCTGGTCTGTGGAAAAACCTCTCCATGGACCCGGTCCCTGGTGCCCAAAAAGTTGGGTCCGCTGGCCTAAAATGAGTAGAGAATTGCCGTATCCCTCCGCTTCTTGTCTTTTGAATGCTTTCACAGAAAGGATTCAAACACTTCAACAATGAATACATTTGTACCACATGCCTGATTATACAAATTGCACAGTAAGATTTCATCCTAAAGTAAAGGTAAGATTGTAGCAACAGACTAAAAGTTTTATACTTGTATCATACCCCAGATAATATATTATTCAGTCTTTTCAAGCTTGTGCCTATTTCTGCATTGTATCTTTCAGTTATTTGCCCAGCTTCCAGTTTCTTTTTTTAATTGCTGTTGCTTCTTTCAACTCTTTCTAATTTTGTTTCTGAATATCATATTATTCGGGCATAAAGTCATAAAGCCATCATCTTCCAATTAAAACAGAAATGTTTATGGGGCAGTCAAGTTGCAACATCTGAATAAAAACATTCCTTTTCAAAAAAAAGAGAAAATTTTCATTAACTGCGTTTAAAATAGAACAATGACGAACGTATTCCAAAAATTAATATAATCTGTCATTTATAGAGCACCCCATGAAACAATGAATTCGTTAACAAAATTCCTGTTTCAATGGACAAAACCTGCTAAGTTTCACTACTCTTCCAAATGTATTTTCCAAATGATTTTATTTGATTCCATTGAGACTGTTCCAATCCATATACATAGATTGTTGCAAGAGTAAGTCATAGTGAAATCAATTGGTAATTTTCTGAATATTGTCTGATAGAGTTGTGTCACAGTAGATGACAGCCCTTAGCAGAGTGTGAATTTGTTTGTTTGTTTATTTACATTGCTTTATCACCCATGGACCCAATCCAATCCAAAGCCTTAGTGCCATCAGGGTGGCCATCAGGGCTTCAGCTGAACTAGGTAGCAGACCCTTGGGAACAACCTCAAGTTACCTCTGGAACCCAATTAGGTCTGTTGGTCATCTTGGTCAGTTTGATCAGTCTGATCTCCTAGCAATAAAGGGCAGCACCAGAGAATTAGATCCAGAGAGTCATCTGACCATGATGGGGCAAATAAAAATCTCTCCCAATTCTAGATCACATTACCAGATTGGGTGTATGAGCCAGGCCTTAGATGGCTTGAGACAAGTTCATGGTTGTGATGGTGGCCATGAACATTAAAGTTACCTCAGACCTTGCACCCCAAGGAGAGAAATTGCAGCTTGGAGGTTGGTACTATGTAGCCTGGAGGTCGGTACAATGGCAACAATCCAGAGGTGGTATCCAGTTCTGGAGAACCGATAGCGGAAATTTTGAGTAGTTTGGAGAATCACCAAATACCACCTCTGACTGGCCCCACCCCATCTATTCTCTGCCTCCCGAGTCCCAGCTGATCTTTTTTTGTTGCCCTGCACAGGAGAACGGAGCTGGAAAGCAGGTTAGTGGGGTGGGGAGGGAATGGAGAAGAATCATCATGATCACTCAGAGAACATGGCTGATGCCACACCCAAGGCATAGGCATATTTCCTAGTGGGAATTATCTTCTAGAGAGAAATATCCCCTTACAAGCCCAGCCAAGTTTCAGGTATCAGATCGCCTTTTTCCCCTGTGATCAAATCATGGATGAGGACAGCTTTATTACCGATTGACCTGGCATTCAACAGCAACAGCCAAAAACTCTGGTCATCAGAGGTCTACTGATAGGAGTGTAGGGTTGAGACCAGAGGGCTGGAATGCGCCACCAGAACACCATACTCAGGGTGTATTCTGCAAGAGTGACCCGACTCCTGTCTCCCTCTTGGGAATAATTTTCTTAGTAATTATCACTGACCAAAAAAGAAGTGGATGGTATGTATTCTGTTATTTAGAGCTCTCTAAAGTACAGCTGTGCGTGTAATGTTTCTAGAGAAATACTACATTAGAGACAATTGCATTTTTCTTGCCTTCTGAATGCTGCTTTTGGCAGCATCAAAGAAACACAGAAGAGATTAGTCTTATTAATTGTGGCTATACTTTATTTAAAAACATTGTAATGCTTTTAAGGAGCACACTTGCTGTACTTGAATTTCATCTTCATTTTCCCTCTTTTTAAAAAAAAATATCCTAAGTTTCCTGTTTTCTTGCCAATATGTCTTTCATCACCATGCAACTCCTAGCAAGTTTTCCCCAGTATTTTTAATTCTGGAATGCCAGATTCTCTTTCCAAGCAACATCATATGAAACAGCATAAGCCTTGGCATATGTTGGAAACTGGTTGGCTGCTATTCATAGTTTCCAGTCTCCTTTAGACAAGTTGGAGTATTGGCATCAAGATAGAAGTGCTTGGCCACTGCCTTTTCCCCTGGGTCTGCTTTCCCAGTCTAGTCTACACTCCTAAAATTTTGTGGTACTTTTCCTTCCTAGCTTCCACCCAGCATACATTACAAAATCCAATTCATAACTAAGGGGTTTGTGTCAGACAATTCTCAGTTCTACTGCATTTCCTGTCCAACAAGCTGAAAGTGCTTTATAAAAAGTCAGACTGGTGTTCAGGACAATTTACCATGGGATTGACCCAGAAGAGAAAGCAATTGAATGTCATTTGTTTCCTACAGGTAAAACTTACCCAAAGGAATTTATATCCTGTAGAGTTCAAGACAGAAGTGTCCACGGAGTCAACAGTATCAAAATGGTTAAGTGCAAAGGGTGAACAAAGCTCCATCCCCTTTTAAGGTATACTACTTTGATTACCTCGGTTGTGGCAATTTTTGGTTTTTTAAAAAAAGTTTTTATTTTTTACAACAAATATACAAACAAGACATAAAACATAAAACCATCTTTCAATTATATACATACAGTGTGTCAGTTGATTACAATCTTTTGTGCTATCCTTTTTTTTGCCATTACTCAAAAGTTGTATAAATTCTCACCTTGTCAATCTTAACATGTGCTTATGTATTTATCAATCATTAATCATTCATTTGATTAAACTATTTTTCCATCATTTTATGCAAGATATTCTAAATTTCATTATAATTTAATCTTATACATTCATCCAATGGTTATATATTTTATATTGTATTCTATATCAATCTATTAACTTTTTATTGTAAAGCTTCCTAATCTATTTCTTTACCATGTCTTTTTATCTAACCATTGATAAAATAAATACCATATCATATAAAATTGTTTATCTTCTTGTTCTCTG